TTCATCTATAATTTCACAAGTATGGAAGGAGCTGAGTTCAAACCATATTAGAAGTGGTTTTAGTAAGGCCGGTATTTACCCATTCTGTAATGCAGTGATTCCTGTTGAAAAATTTGAACCTGAGGCTTTCAAAAGATTTCAATATCATAACTCTAAGAAGGCATCATTAGTGAGAAATAGGAATGACCCTGGTGATACCCCTCAACAAGAAGAAATGTCGGAAAATACCAGTGGCAGCCAAGCAACACACTTGGTCAGAAGTACTGTGTTACAATACAAACAGTATCTTCAAAATGATAACCAGAATCATGCATTAAAAAGGCTTCCTGAAATAAATTCCTTCGAATCTATTTTACTCGAACATGTCAAACAATCCCCATTAAACCAGCAAAAGCGTAAGAAAATCTGTTCTGGCGCTGAGATCATAACACACACTGACTATTTAGCAAAAATAAAGATACAACAAGACAAAAAGACCGTAAAATCCAATAAAACGGAAAGGAAAAGGATAAAGAAGAAGGAAACACAATCTGACAGCAGTGATGATGACCAAGCTTTCATTGAGATGAGATCAGATTCCGACGACGATATTGATATATTAAGGGTTCCAATCCCTCCCATCGAAGAAGAGTTACATCGTGCGGCTATGCCCGATGATTTCGTATTAATAAAATTTCCAGTTAAAGGAGGCTCAAATTATATTTATGATGTCGCTAAAATTTTGCAGTGTTTTGATACTGAAGTTAAAGTTAGTTGCCTTCGAAAATGCATAAAAAATGACGGAAAATATTATTTTCCTAACCTACCAGACATATCAGTCGCATTTAAGTTCCAAATTGAATTAGTATTGCCAAAACCATTAAGTTTTTCCCAGCTTACAAAAAGGTAACAAGCTTTAATTTCGTTTCCTATTTCTCTAAACAACTAAAATGTTCGCTAATAACCATATTTTTTTAAACTTTTATTACAAATGTATTCAGAAATGGTTTTTTATTATTTCTACTTGCCCCAGAATGATTTGCATTGAATTCAATATATAAATTCGGATAGGTTTCCGCCCCTTGCCATGTAGAAAATGTGGGGCAAGTGGAAACCATGTCACATGATTGAAAGTTTTTGTTAGAAAAAAGTTCTTTAAAGTTTTTTTATGTTTTAACACCGCATTCGTATTAGAAAATGGTGTAACTCTTACCTGTCGGTAACCTAATAGAGTGCATATATAACTAAATTGTTTAGAACGCCTTAAACAGAAATTAATGATTTTTTAGGTTCCTCTTACCCCGGTGTACCTTATCTAAATAGTGACGCCACTGAATAACTGCTGAACTTCCGATAGTTTTTATGGTTTAAAAGAGTCCCAGTGTTAAAAAAATTTCTCACCGAAGCTAATAGGAGCATTCTCCTCCCAGAGCTAACTTATTAACCCATAGAAGTAGTTGTATTCGTTGCTAATCAATATTGTAACATGAACTATTGGCTATTTCTAAGATAAGGTCAAAATTTCTTAGTTAAGTCACTGCTACAAGTAAAATCACTGTTTTATGTTATCACATATGTTGCAAATATTAGTTTGACTTGGAATTTGATGAGACAGATAGCTTGTTTTGTGTAATTATTTAAAGCAAGCGTTTTATGTGTTTTTCACACAATCAATAAACTTCAATACCATTCCGTCAACAAATTCTGCGTTTTGGATGATTTGTAGTTAACCCACATTCAATCAAATTTGAAGTACATAGGTATATAAGAAGTCTATATCTTCGTTTAAAGGATTATGAACCGTAAGTAAAGCCTCTAGCTTCTCATTAGAAAATATATTCATTTTATACGAAGATCCCAGTATGAAAAAGCTTTGTAAGGTTTTGTTAACCAGGTTCACCTCTTTATATTAATTTAAAAAGAAAAGTTGAAGCAGTGAGTAGACGTTAACAACTTGATACCGAAGAAAGCAATTGTTGGAATGGTTCGGGCATAATTCAGTTTTGTTGATTTAGAATAGAGAAAATTAAAATTTGAAGTTAAAACAATCTAAACACCTTCGGGATAGATAACCAGGTTATTGAAGAGACGTCGACAGAGCGTATTAAACTAAAGAGATAATATACAATTAAGAAATAAATTTACTTTTTAAATAAAAAACTCGTTTGTTCACTACTATCCCGAGAAATTTACTTTTTACCTTTGTAGACTACATCTAGGATACTCTCTAACTATAAAAACACGATAAAATAGTAAATAGCAACAAATTTGCTTTGGGCATGGACAGAAATATGTAGTAATATACACTTTAGAGCAGAATATATTACATCATTGTATACCAAAAGTGCTTAACAACTACAGATAATTGCATAAAAATTAATGTACATGGAAAATAGTATAATATGAGTAAATTTAAATATACACATTTGTAGAACTGGTAAATGGTTCATCATTACAGTCACAGATAAATGGATTCAAAAATGATGCTTTAAAAATGTAAAAATTACACAGTTTAGTTATATCTAACAAAAATCAAAAGCAAGTCGTTTTTTAGTGACATTTTTATTTAATTTGTATGTTTCTAAGACATCTAAGTGATGGATTCGACCGTTACTTGATGGCAATTCATTTTACATAACAATAAAACACTGAAAACTTTGTTTTCAAAACTCCTACAAAATTTGTTTGTCTCAAGTTGGCCATTCAGAATTATGTCCATAGATTCCGTTAATTTCAATAGATTCTAATAATGATAGCTTAAGGCCTGTATTTTGGAATTAAAGAGTTTGAAATTCGCCATTAAAAGAATGATTATAGTCTAGAAGGTGATGCATGTACGTAGAATCTGTTTTTCTATTATTGAAAGCCCTTTCACGTTCTGCTATACGTTTGTTTAAAGGTCTACCAGTTTGACCAATGTAAGTTTTTGGGGATTATAATAAGTTACTATTTTCTTTGTTTTAGCTATATCTGGCATGAAAATAGTGACCCATAAATATCTTTACGACAAAACGAAGCAATAATATTTGTCTAATCTAAAGTCAAACTAAAATATTTACAAAATCGCTATTGTGGTGACATACCTGATAATTTAACCAGTTTAAAGCAAATATTTTGATATTTTAAAACGGCGATGAAAGGGAAGTGGTTAAAAGTCCACAGAAAAAAAAGCAGTATATATACAAACAAATAAAGATTGGTTAGACGGAACATTTAAATTGGTAGAAAAACAAACAAATGCGACCAGGTTGGCCTTCTAAATCATTTGAAGAATCCAGCGAAAGGACGAAAAGAAAGAAAAACAGGATTCTACATTCCAGAGACAAAGGAATAATAAAAATAATGGGTTCTTTAAGAGGAATGGGCTCTGAATAAGCTGAAGGTGGTTAAATCAGTCGCAAACTGACGACTTACAGTATTTTGTCATGGAAAAAGGAAACAAGTAACAGAACTTTAGGTTTACCAGTTTCCCTTTAGTTATACCAGTTGAGGAAAAAATTGAGAAAAAATGTCCTCATTTGAAAAAGGAAAAAAAAATGTAAAAATGATTACTCAGGTTAGTTATATCAAACAGTGCCACTTTAACGCACTTTGACCTCCAGGCTTTCAAACGCACATAATATGTGACGTTTTACATAAAACGTGACATTTATATGACATTTGACATACGTGAAATGTTACATAAATGTGACGTTTTATGTCGAATGTTACGTTTTATGTCAAATGTCACATATTATGTCACGTGTGAAAGCCGCGGTGGTCAAAGTGCGGACAAATTAATTATTAGCTACTCCTTTTGTTAAATATTTCTTTTTCAATTGAAATTAAATATCGTTTTTACGATTACTTGCTTTGCTGTGTGAAATCTTTGACTATGGATGACAAAGTAAACATCACAAAATTATATTAATAACACTGAAGTCTGTGAGGAGCTATTGTACCCATTGATTTAAAAGTATAGAACAACGTAAGCGCATATATTCTGCGCATGCTCACAGAGTTACTGATCACTCAGTACAAATAATAGCTGTGCTCAAAATGTGTGTTAAGTTTCTAAATAAAATGAGACTCAAAATTCAAGGATCTATTGAAATAATTTTGTTCACTCTTTCCAGAGTAATTATCCAGACATCTAAAAAGAGGACAAACAGAATGGTAAAGATAAAAATGTCAATTTCTAAGAAGAACCTTATCTTCTATATCAGGTAAAGTTAAATCAAGTAATTCTTATGAAAATTTTTAACTAAATTTTGACACCGTTTTTGCATCCATATTTATCTAATTGCTTGTAATATTGAACTATTGACCAGTTCTACAGTATTTTTACGTTACAAATTTATTGACGCCATGCTCTTTGATCCAGAAATAATAAAATAAATAAATATACCAGTCATCTAAAGATACAAAATTTTTAGAAATTCTAAACCATTTTCTTACTTATTAATGACAAAAACCACACGTGTTCATCATTTTATATAAATGAGAGTAGACAGTACTTTTCGAATATTCCCAACTTTTTATTTTGGACTACTTGCAACCAATTTCTTACTACATTTGCAATTTCATTGACAAATCTAGATATTATGATAGCCTTTTAAATAGGCTAAAACAGTTGTCCAAGAACAGGTTTATAGTTATGGATTATTGGAAATAAAAGAAATGTCAATGTCTTCAAATCAATTCGAGTAAAATATTCGGAATTATAATCGTGGAAAAGCTGCAGAAAGCTTCGACAAGATCATCTGAAAAGGAACAAAATGAAGTCAACTTGATCTCACAACTTCAGGAAGTTTTTTGATTAAAAAAATATAAATTTAAAATATTTAAATTTAAATGTAGAGAGCTTTATAAGTATGAGTCGGGATATAGAGAGATGTAGGAAGAAATACGAGAGTAAGATGAAAAGTTCTTGGAATAGTCAATAGATGGCACTGTTGAAAGTTGAATTACCACTTTTTAGATTCACATACTTTTAATTCTGAATGCAGCCAGACTAACTGTTGATTTTATCAATTTAAACAAGAAGTTATGTAGTTTGAAAAAAAAAAAATAATAATAAACGTTCAAAACAACTTATCATAAAATATTTGTTGTGGGTGGTTTCCCGTCATTAGACATTCATCTAAAATTGGAAAATGTGTATATTAAGTCCGTATTTTCTTAAATAACAATAAAAAAAGGACACCTGAATCCAAACAGCCAATGTTGTCGTACATGGAGTAAGCCTTATCTACAGTCAGAACGACTAATTGCAACAATATGGTTCTAGATGATCAATGATTACAGGTGTTTCAGATATCTTAGAAAAAAAGCTACATAAACCACTAGCTTTGAATGAAAAAAATTGAAAACACCAATTGGAAGGATAGTTTTTTTGGGTTTCTAAATATTCTTTAAGGTTGCTTTCCATAAGAAATTTTCCATAAAAACTTTATGATGCCAACAGTTTTATTTCAAATGAAAATAGCAATAATTTGATGAGAACATCCCAAAATTGTATTTCAGGAATGGAATATGCCATTGTCGGAAACTCATTTGTCAAAGCACATTAAATTAAAGCTTGACTAGAATTAATTACTCAAAAAACACTCATTTTCATGTTGTTCTCGTCACCGGATGTAGTAATGATGATTAAAACTACATTTTTCTACGCAAATTAAATAAACCAGTAAAGAACTTCACGATCTACTACATTTACTGTGTTAACGAAAGAGCACACTGAGCAGTTAAACCTATTCTATTCAACGCCGATTAATTTATAACGTAAAAACACCGTAGATAAAAGGAATGAAAAACTTGATATAATCAATTCTAATCACAATAAAAGACTTGTGACAAGTATACAAAAAGTTATACTTGAAAACATCTACATGCTTTTTAAAGCTCAATAAAAAAATAAAAGTCTCTCTTGGTGACTGGCCGACAACATGTGCCATCCTCTTTTTATACTCAGATATTGAAGTATGGCGCGAATGCAAATGATGAGACCTAAAAAACAAAAGAAGAAATACATTAGACGTGTTAGTACATCATTTTTTGCTATAAATACAAATATTTGTACAGTGTGAAAACACTTATTTAAATGTAAAGGGTGATTCATGCGGGTCTAGGATAGTCATCATTAGACTTCGGCAAATATGCATATTTCATATTTTGCATATTGTGCATATTTTATGCAAATATTTCATATTTTGGCATATTTGTATAGAAGTTTGCATAAAGTGCATAAAAGTTCAGATTTTTATATTGTATTGGAAAATTTTTAAACATACCAATTTATTTCAATTCTTGTATAAAATTTTGTAGTCATTTTAATCAAGAAATGATCTAAGTACGTAATCTCTACAGGTACAAAACATTTACAATTTCAAAGAAGATCAATTTAAGTAGCCCTCTACATTCTTAGAAAGTCTCGGTCACTGAGGCATTCAGTTATTGGATAATCGCTAAGGGTTCGCTCATTTGCATTTTATGATCTAATCCCCAAATATATCTACAATTTATTGTATCTTAACAGCAGGTACACGGCTAATAGTTTTGTTCCTAATTTAGGGATTTTCCAAAATCTCCCAGTTTATTGAATTAGGTACCTAAACATTTCTAATTTGATGCTCAGATTTGTAAATCATTTTTGTTTTGATATTCAAAACGTAAACACTCGTTGTGCATAAAAAAAAGGAAGATTGTGATTTTATAATGCCTAAAACAACCAGTGCTTCAACTTGGATTAAACCTATAAAGAGCTGTCTATGGATATGGGAAAAATCTACTGTTCAGTCTGTGGCAAAATTGTAAGTATCTAATATTTTCTATTAAATATCTAATATTTCATACATACAGGGTGTTTGGTACAATACAATGGTGTGTATTTAGAAAAATTTTTCACCTTTACTTTTTTTTATGAAGTCAGCTATTCTAAAACACAATTATTTTTATTGTAATTGAATTAACAAAAAACAAACTTTTGTTGAATTTTAAAATAAGTTATATGATGTACTAATGGTTAGTAACAAAAACTAATTTGTGGATTAATACTGCATTTAAAACACTTAGCGAGTGTTTTTTTTCCAAACCAGTTATTTGATTAACCAAAAACACCTTGTATATTTTTATATTTTAAAGGTTGGGTTAAAATAAAGGTTTTTATTTTTATTTATAGATAGCATGTGAGAAGAAATTTCAGATAGACCAACATGTGAGAACTGCTTCACACATTGCAACAAAAGGAAAAATAGGAGGAAAACATCAAACTTCAATGGCTAAATTTTTCCAATCTACTTCAAAAAAATTAGATGAGCAAGAAACTTTTAATGAAGACTTGTGTCGCGCATTAGTGTCTGCAAACATACCGCTTTCAAAATTAGCAAATGTAAATTTTAGTTCGTTTCTAAAAAAATATTGCAAACTTAATGTTCCAAGTGATCGGTCTCTAAGAAGAAATAATGTGAACGGGCTATACTCGTCGGTGTTAATTAATATTAAGGAAGAAATTGCAGATAATTATTTTTACATATTTGTAGACGAAACCACTGATTCCTCAGGAAAGTATATTGCTTATTTATTGATTAGTGTTCTTAAAGAAGATACCTTACCAAAATCTCATCTTATTTCATGCCAGCAACTTGAGAAAACAAATGCTTTAACAATTTCGCGTTTTATACAAGAAACATTAGCAACTTTTTTCTTCCGACAACTATTCCTTTTAATAAATTACTGCTTATTTTATCGGATGCTGCTCCTTATATGGTGAAAGCAGGACAAAATTTAAAAATATTTTCCCAGATTTAATACATGTTACTTGTGTAGCGCATGGATTAAACAGAGTTGCAGAGGAAATACGAAAAAAGTTTCCTCTTTTAAATACCATGATATCCAGTGTCAAAAAAGTATTTCTTAAATCTCCTATAAGAATTCAACTTTATAAAGAAATGCTACCTAACATTCCTCTTCCACCACAACCTATTTTAACGCGATGGGGAACATGGTTAGAAGCAGCTAATTTTTATGCAGATCATTTTGTTAAAATAAAGAACATAATTGATACGTTAACAGATGAAAGTTCCCAATCTCTTTTGGATTCTAAACAAACTTTTCAGAGTAACTTGCTTCAACAAGAACTTTCATTTATAAAATCAAATTTTAGTTTTGTTCAAAAAACAATTACTCAGTTATAATCACCAAAACTGTCATTGTTCGAAAGTACAGCATTAATAAAAGAATTTGCGTCATGTTGTCGGAACATTAGAGGTAATATTGGAAAAGATATTTTAAAAAAATTTGAAGCTACTATGGAAAAAAATAAAGGTTACCATATTCTTTCTGAAGTAGTCAGTGTTCTAGCTGGAAATATTTCGGAAACAATTAATTTAGAACCAAATGTTTTGGTTAGTTTGAAAAATGCTCCCGTTACATCAGTTGATGTTGAACGAAGTTTTTCCATATATAAATATATGTACTCAGACAGAAGCCACAAGTTTTTGTTAGAAAATTTTGAACACCACTTGGTTATTTATTGTTACCATAATTCTAAATAAGTTTATTCATACTTAAAAATGATGTACTTACTTAAAATAAATGTAAATCTTAATGAATAGTAGGAAATATTTAGTTATGTACACTTTTTTTTAAATAAAATTGTTACTATTTTACGATTTTTTTATTTATTTGTATGCATATTTTGTAAAATATTTGCATATTTTCGGGTAAACACGTGCATATTTATGCGCATATTTTCTACATTTTTATTTGCATATTTGCCGAAGTCTAGTCATCATCATCATCATCAATGGCGCTATTACTCTTCGTGAGTCTTTGCCGCGTTTACTATTGCCTTCCATGTTTGTCGGTCGGTCCTGTGCCAGTAATTCCCATTGTCGCACTCACATCTTCTCTAGATCTTCTTTGACTGCATCTTTCGACCTTTTTCTAGGCCGTCCTACAGACCTTCCATCTGGCCTTTCCCAAAACACATTGTTTATAAGGCAATTGTCGTTACTGCGTATCACATGCCCTGACCATCTGAGTCTATTGGCCTTTATATATCTGACTAGATTTTCTTTTCCGAATATAGACTCTAGCTCTAGTGTTTAGTAGATCTATACCTCTGTAATTGTTGGGGTCTTCTTTATCTCCTTTCTTGAACATTGGTATCATTATGCTGTTTCTCCATGCGTCTGGTATCTTGCAGTGCAATATTACTTTTTGTATAAGTTTTGTCATCTGATTATCAATATTCATTATTATCAATATGATATTCATCTGAATATCAATAAATTATCAATACTCAAAATCCTTTTTCTAGTACCTTGTTTAGTTTATTGTCTATTGTCGTTTTATTAATATAGGCAAAATGAAAAACTAGGTGGACTGTAAACACTGGCTTTATTTTAACTAACAAAACGCTGTTTAAACTATAACACTATCGTCTTTTGGAAAATGAAACTAATGAACAAATTTATTGTTTGTTTACTGAACTGCGAGCTGCTTGCTTGTTGATGTCTCGTTGATGTCTTCTCTATTGTCTGTTAGAGTTAGGAGTGTTAAGTGCGCGCACTCCTGGCTGAAGTCACGCACACAGTTGCCGGTTGTACTAAAAATCTAGAATAATTGTTTACGGCGCAAGCAACCTTATACAAAATATATGTCTAAAGTTTTACGGAGATTATAAAAATACAGTAAGAGGGTGTTCCCTATTCTATTTAACTGCATCTCTTGCGTAGACGGTTATTTGTCGAACGACTGTGAGAACCCGTGGTGAAGAACGGTAAAGTAGAAACGATATCAATTGGGAAAGAACAATTTTTGGGGTCCGGTCAGTAATTCTACGACGAACATAGAAATAAAGATAAATCTTTGTAATTCTGTAATTATTGATTACTCCTGGTATTAGTCCACATGGATATTGGCGTGGCTTATTACTTTTTAACGTATCTTATTGGGTAATACTGAAATGTAATTGGTCAAATTTTTCAGAAGTGCATACACTGAAACCAAATCTGGTTTTGCCGTTATCTTTGCTTCTCATGTTTGAAAGGCGGCAAGCATATAATAAACACAATAACAGTGTCGTCGTGATAAACTTCTAATTATTTTATTTTTATAGTAAAATTGTAGTCTCATTTTTTAGTTCTCAAATTAATAACAACATTACATTTCATTTGCATTATGTATGTATATACTTTTAATGATCAATTTTAAATTTCAATAAAAGTTATGGAATTTTTCGGGTTCAGTCCCGAATAATTCAGAAATATAAACATTATTTGTAATTGATCACTAACGGTATTGTCCACATTGCAGCTGTGGCTTATTACTTTCTACGTATCTTATCGGGCACTACTGAAGTGCAATTAGTCAAATTCTTCGGAAGTTATTATGTTCAAATTTTATCGTTATCTGGTCAAAAATGCCTTCTCAGGTTTCTCATACTAAACGATATATTCAGTATCGTCGTATACGACATCAACTTCACGTATATTTTTAATATTTTTGTGCAAACAGTAGTGTTGTGTTTTAGTTAAGACAGTAGAAATAAGTTGTAAATACATTAAAGATGGCTTTTTTGCGACCATTTGAATGTGACACCAACGAGAATACTAGCGACAATCCAAAGACGTTTTAGGTATGTAAATTCTTATTTAAATCAAGTTTAATAATTAGTTGTATAGGGATGCTCGGTCGTAATATTCACCCTTAATCTACTTTTTTTAACAATTAAAAGTAAACATATTTCTTTTAGATCCAACACCAATGAATTGGGAATTTGTAAATAAGGACTTACATATTCAAGCGCAAAGAATTATTCTAAATATATATTCCTGTTTAAGAGGCGAAAATAGTACACTTTCGGAAAATAATATTGTGTTAAGGATATGTGAACTTACCAAACTTGCGCGTACGACAGTTTTACGTGTTATTGCAGCTGGGGATGTAAGTGATCATTCTGTTAAACGTCAAAGAGTTGGACAAAACTTTAAAAAGATTGATAAGGCCACTAAAGACGTTATTTGTCGCTATGTCTACGAATTTTATCAGGACAACAAAGTTGCAACGTTGGAAATGCTTCAGGACAAGTTGAAAATATATCCCGATTATGCATATAAATCTTTTGATACATTGAGGCGTGTTTTAATGGAACGCGGATTTAGTTATAAAAAATTAGACAAGAGAATGGTAATTATGGAATCTACAAGGATTGTGATACAGAGGCAACAATATTTACGTAAAATAAAGGAATATCGAGATGACAATAGAGACATTGTGTATCTTGATGAAACGTAGTTTGACACCCATGATGTAGTTCAATATGGCTGGATGGATGATAGCAAAAAGTGCTGTTTGAGTACTTCTTGTTCGAGAGGAAAAATAATCATAATTCTACATGCTGGAACTAAGAGCGGGTTTGTACCTAATGCCTTGTTATTATCGGCCAAAAACATTAAACAGTCATCAGCCGATTATCATGAGGATATGACGGCTGAAATTTTCGAAAAATGGGCAACGGAACAGCTTTTACCGAATATTAAAACAAATTCCGTGATAGTAATGGCCAATGCGTCATACCATTCTAGACTCTACACCAAAATTCCAAATACTAGCTCCAAGAAGGGAGATATCATAGAATTTATGGAGAACAAAGGCATGACAACACCTAGTAAATGTAACAAAAAGGAATTGTTGCAATTAATTAAGCAACAAAATTTTCAAAAAGAATATGTAATAGATAAACTCTTTGAACGCCACGGACATACGGTTTTACGGCTCCCTCCATATCATTGTGTTTTCAACCCAATTGAAATGATATGGGCCGATGTAAAAAAGAAATTGTGGAAAATGAATCAATCTCCCCAATTAAGTGACGTTGTTGTCCAAAATATAAGAACAGTGATCGAAGAACTTAACAAAACTGAGATTTGGAAAAATTGTGTAGCTCATGTTCAAGTAACAGAAAAAGAATATCCCACTTTACCACCAATTGAACCGGTAGTTATAAACACAAACGACGACTCACACGGATAATGATAGTGTTTAATTGTGTGAATATTTCCACAAAGACTTCCACAACTTGTTAAAAATATGTTCTGTGTACCGTAGTAAATGTGATCTCTCCATTAATCTATAACCTAAGAGACAATTCGACTGGAAGACGAATTGGCCGATTTCATGTAAGTATCTTTCAAAAATAAGCTCTTTAAACCGATGAAACTTACAGATCATATTCATGATTATTTTTTACCAAAAAAGGGATCAACTTTGTTTTGAGCGTAACTTGCTTACATTTGATGCTAGAAACTTTGTTAAAAATCAAAAATAAAGATTTCTTTAAACAATTTAAAAAAAAGTAACAAAACATTTTTTTGATTATTTCACGTTGCATTATTCGATATGGAATTTGACGAATAGGTAAGAATCTATTTTTCATTAGCTATAACTCTGCTTTTGCTGGGTATACAGGCTTCATACATATACCATTGTTTTCACTTTTTTATAAACTGTATTTTTGCTAAGAACATTGTTTCCATAAAATACTTACCTTTTGAGTTATTTGCGAGAAACCGTCCAAAAACGTGGTGTTTTTGTTGAAAAATGAATATATTCACTCGCATATAACTCGAAAAGTATTGATTTAGTAAAAATCTCTATAAAACAAAAGTTGCCTAGAATTAGTCAGTTTATCCACTTCCGGACTTATTTTTTTATGTATATCTTTTCACCTCCGAGAAGGGGCGGTACCCACCACCAGGGCAAAATACACATCGGCACAATATCACTTTTTTCTTTGACACGTTAGCTATATGTGTATGCCAAATTTCATGTCAATCCCAGTGGTTCTTTAAAATTTAGAGATTTTTACAATATTTTACCGTTAGTGAATGGACTATGTGTATTAACTTTTAATCATCTTTGATGTCAAGTTCATAAAGAAATGTGAATAATTAACAATATTATTACTGTTTAACAAAATATTAGACCTTAATTTAAAAATAAAAGTTTATTATTTAATTTCTATTGCGCCGCCTATGTTTTACAGAAGACGCCGACACTTGAGTGTCGAATTTTGTTTTTATATTTGTCCAACTGACATCGTAGAAACTATACCTGATGATACGCAGCGCCGGTTTAACCAGGGGTCTTTTCGGTGCTGTGCTTACCTTTTGAAGTTCGCCCTTATTTTTTTCTTGTATTTTGTTAATACTCATTTAAGTTTGAAACCAAAAAAAGTGGTAATTGTTTTCCTTATTGTAATAAACTTATATTACAGTATATTGCTTTTAAGCAATATACTGTAGAAGCCATGAAGTTCAAATCAAAATGGCAAATTATTTGTATGTTGTTTTTTTTTTTTCGATTAGTATATACTATGTATGTTGTTAACTTTTGGTGTACTAGGTCATTTATTACTAAATATTTTCCACCAATAAAGATGAGCCAAAAATAAAAATTCACGTATTCTGAATCAATCATAGCAATAAAAACATTGATACTTACCAAAGGTCATGATCAGCCACCACAACCAACTGTTGTCTTTTGAAGCCAACTCGGTTGAGTGTTGGACGATGAAAGTCCACTTCGCCAATGACAGTCCAAAGCCCGATAGAGCTCCATACCTCGATGCGATCGTGTGGCAGAAACACATTAACAATAAGAATCCTATCCAGTTAAAAATAAAGGCAACTGTAAAAAAACAAAAATGCATGTTCTTAGTACACTGTTTATATAAAATTATCTTACAAATAGAGTGATGGAAGCTAATGAAACGTCAAATTACAAGACGTCAGGATTTTATGTATTTTGTCGTAAAATCCACAGATCACTAATAACTACAGGGTGGTGAATCGTCAAACGGCCCATAGGAAATTCAATGGGTAATTCTGAATTGTTGAATCCTTGCTTCCTAAATTATTTTACATCAAAAGTCATAAGAAACTATTTGTAGACGACTGAAATACGTATTAAAAACAAATGTTAAAATTGTTTTAAGCTATGAGGATTCGTCTTTTTTCATGTTTTAATGACTTACATAAAACTACTACTAAAAACCTACATATTGCTGCTCTGAACAAAAAATAATAAAAAATTGACATTTCGCCTTTCTTCCGTGTGGTCTTCAAATGTTAAAATTTGTTCTACGAATTAAATGTATTCCAAAATTTTGTGAAAACATAATACATTTTTCAGGCCACCCTTAAAGTCAGGCCACACGAGGTACCAGAATGTGTATGAAATGTTGCATTTGGTCATATTGATGATTCTGATATTTGCCAATATTTGAATTGTCAATATTTTTATTTGTGATTAAGTTTCCATACTTAATAGTCCGCACATACCATCAATTCATGTATTTAATTTGTTGATAAGAAATATTAACGGTATGTTTAGTTGTGAAACAGAGATAAAAATGTTAATCATCTGAAACTATAAGCAAATACTGCTTATCGCTACAATGTTATTACTACTTAGAAACAGAAAAACTATTAGTGGGTATTTTAATACATTTATTTGGATTTAAACCAAGTTGCTATCGAAATTTTAGTAGTACACTATGCATACAATAAAAAATAAAACCATTAAAATCATAGCTACCGTAAAACGGGGTTACATTGAACCGAGGGTTACATTGAACAGTTTTGCAATGAAGATTATATTTTTCTACAAGTTGGCCTAAACTTTTTTTTTGGGCCGATATATTTTTTTGAGGGTTGCAAATATGTTTTTCTTGGACTTCCTGATAAAATTTCTGACAGGTTCTCAAAATTAACAAAAATGAAATAAAAAATGGTTTCTGAAATAAAAGGTAGTAAAAAAAATCTCTTAACCTTTCAGCGCGCGCGCCTACATAAATTTTATGACAATTTAAACAAAATAGTGTACGCCACTGTTATTCTAAATTTAGTTGCTGCCTAACACTTTTCTATTCTTGAAATGACCCGTTAGGTACGATGTGGCAGGTAAATTTGGTTTGTTGGATACTGAATTAAATTAGTTGTTGTGAGATATTTGAATGAAGAGGAACAGTCATCATAAATTTTATAGCAAGCGAGTTTTGGAGTAATTATTTTTATTTATGTAAGTATTATGATCTTAAACAATTTTATTTCGCTTATTTGCATTCTGTATCAGATTTTAAGTTTAGAAATTAAATAATAATAATAATATTGATATTGAATTTTGTTTTTTTTTTCAGATAAACCAAGAAAATGTCTAAACGTCCTTTGTCAACAGAGGAGATTGCTTATTTAGCTGAGCATTTATGGGATGAAAACGAAAACGAGTCAGATCACGCTGTGTCTAGTGATAGTGATTTGTCTGAGGAGTATATAGAAGAAGAAGATGTAGACAGTTGTTCTGAAGAGGGATTATCCGATGATGAATCCGTAACAGCTTCATTTTCTGACTATTATGTAGCAAAAGATAAAACTACCAAATGGTACAAAATGAAAACGGCAACTTCATCGAAGATAAAAAAAATTAACATTGTAAAAGAGCAGCCTGGTGTCACTCATAGAGCCCGAAATATCAATAATGAGCAAGAAGCCTTTTTGAAAATAATAGACATTGACATGATCGACAATATTATATGCTGCACTAATAAATATATTGCTGAAATAAGAACACGTCAAGTATATTCTAGAGAACGAGACTGCAAGGATATAAACAGAAACGAGTTTATGGCGTATTTAGGGTTGCTGATTTTGATTGGGATAAAAAAATCGCATTTTGCAAATGTCAGAGAAATTTGGGCAAGCGACGGAACAGGAATTGAGATAACAAGGGCTGTTATGAGTTACAAACGATTTTTGTTTATAACAAATTGCTTGAGATTTGATGATCGCACAACCAGATTTGAGCGCCGCAAAATTGACAAATTGGCTGCAATTCGTGACTTTTTTGATGCATTTGTGACCAATATTCAAACATCCTTTAAACTTGGTGCATACGTTACAATAGACGAAATGCTTCACCCTTTTCGAGGTCGTTGCAGTTGGGTGCAATACATGCCAAGCAAACCAGCAAAATACGGCATCAAAATGTACGCTTTATGTGATACAAAGACATGCTATACTTCAAATTTAGAAATATATTGCGGCAAACAGCCCGATGGTCCGTACGTTACATCCAACTCACCAACTGACATTGTAAAGAGACTTGTTTCTTCGATAGAAAATAGCAATCGAAATCTTACTACCGACAACTACTATACTAGTATTCCACTTGCTAATTATTTACTGCAAAAAAATATCACGTTAGTTGGAACTTTGAAAAAAAAATAAGGCAGAAATTCCTGCAGAATTTTTACCTAACAAGGAAAAAGTTACTAAAAGTTGTCTTTTTGGATTCCAAAAAGACATGATGCTTGTGTCTTTTGTGCCTCGCAAAAACAAAACTGTAATTCTGCTTTCAACTTTACACGATAACGACGAAATACATCCAGACACTCAAAAACCACAAGTAATTATGGATTATAATGCAACTAAGGGGGGTGTTGATACAGTGGACAAAATGTGTGCAACATATTCAGCTTCTCGCATTTCCAGGAGATGGCCTTGTGTTATATTTTACAGTTTATTGAACATAAGTGGAATAAATGCGCAAGTTTTATATAGATTTTCGTGTCCTGATAATTGCCCAAAAGATCGAAGAATTTTTTTGAAAAATTTGTCGCTGAGTCTAATGAAAGAGCACCTTGTTTCAAGAGCTCAGCTAACCAATTTACCCTCAGATGTCGGCGCATTTCTAAAAGTTAGATATGGACAAACTGTAAATGAACACGAGGAAACAGTTCGTCTTTCAAAACGTGGAGTTTGTCGTTCTTGTAACGCGGAAAGAAAAAGGACAACGGCATCCATGAAATGCGTTAAATGCAATTCTTTTACTTGCAAAAAACATTCACTTACTACAATTCTGTGTAACTCCTGTAATACAAACAATCAGGATGATAGTTTTTAACTGTATATTGATTTATTTGTTTACCTAGACTAAAAAGTAAAAGTGTAATTTCTGTTTTAATTTGTAAATTTTGCAAATAAATATGTTTATTTATTATTATTTGTAATATATTTATGTTTTTATAATTTACATTCAAGAAATATCAGATAACTCACATTTATCCAAAATACATAAAAAAATATGACACGACGCGCTATGATGTAAAAAATATGGCGCGAGCGCTGAAAGGTTAAACTTTGGTCTGCAGCCGGCGATATGCAAAAGATATCTTCTCATGACTAATTTTACTCGATACTAGTACCTATTTGAACCTTATTCTACATAAAACCGTAAATGATTAGGGTTTTCAATATTTTTAATTAATTTATACAAAAAATATGTCAATTATTTTGGGAACGTGGGGTAACATTGAACGGCAGCATTGAACGTGCTTGGGCGGTGTCAATCGAGTTCCATCTAAATATTATTGTCTGGCGTTACGCTACCTCGTTTTGAATCATTTGAATGAAATTCACTCAGCTCAGAGCTCAGTATAACATTGGTTGGCTTGGCGGTAGGAACATTGTGTGGTTAGGAAATTCAGTTGTGTGTAATAGGTAGTGTAGTGCGATAATCTCAGTCCAAAATGCGTGATTACGTTAGAAAGTTGGGTAGTCGATCATACAAAAATTACACCTCTGATACTTTGGATCAAGCAATCCGCGAAATTAAAACAAAACAGTTATCACTTTCTAAGGCGTCGAAGAAATACAAAATCCCAAAAGGAACATTAAGTCACAAACTGAACAACAAAAAAAATGAAGGACGTCGGAAGGCCCACAGTTTTAAACAACAAAGAAGAAAAGGCACTGGTCAAGATGCTTTTGAAAACCGCTGAATGGGGCTTTCCTTTGACTCACGACGATTTACGACATGTCATGAAAAGCCATTTGGATACAATGGGTAAGAGAGTTAAGCAGTTTAAAAATAATTTGCCTGGTATCGACTGGATTAAAGGTTTTCTGAAAAGAAACAGAGAAATAAGTGTAAGAAAATCTCAAAATATAAACCCAAATAGAGCATCTTCCACTAGAGAAGTTTTCATTGCTTATTTTGATAACCTTGAGCAATGTCTAGACGGAGTTTCCCCCGATTGTATATACAATTTCGATGAGACAAATTTATCGGATGATCCTGGGTCTGCAAGATGCTTTTTTGAAAGAGGGGTGAAATACCCAGAACGTTTATTATCTCAATCAAAATCAAACATTTCTTTGATGTTTTGTGGAAGCGCTTCAGGAGTTCTGCTGCCTCTGTATGTAGTCTACAAAGCAGAAAACCTTTGGACAACTTGGACGGAAGGAGGACCCGATAAAACCAGATACAACCGAACAGCTCATGGATGGTTCGATTCTGCAACATTTTTAAATTGGTTTACTTCTGTTTTCCTTTATTCCACGAGACATGAAGAAGTAGTCAAAGTATTAATCGGGGATAACTTGGCGAGCCATTTTTCTGAGCAAATTATGAGACTGTCGGTTGAAAATAATATTCGATTCATATGTCGCCGCCGAATACTACGCATATCGCTCCACCCCTGGATGTCGCGGTGTTCGCACCACTGAAGAAACAATGGCGGCAATACTCAGCGATTATAAATTAGCAACGGGATCAACTGGTCTTCCAAAGGAGATGTTTCCAAAACTTTTAAAAAAGCTGATGTTAAAATTCGCAGAAACTGGTGAACAAAACCTTCAAAGTGGCTTTCGGGCAACGGGTATATACCCTTTAGACATAAATCAAATATTAAAGAAATTGCCTGGTACTGATGATACTGAATTAAATGAAAGTTTTGGAAACAGTTTAAACGACACAGTTTTACAATTTCTACAGGGTATTAGGAACAAAAAGAGAGCTAGAACTCAAAGAAAAAAGAAAATTAACATCGCACCGGGTAAAAGCATTGGATTGGAAGATTTTGAAATAGGAGAAAGTTCTGGATGTTCTGCACCACCCACTAAGAATAAGAAAAAGTCTGCTAAGGAATTGGATAGTGACAGTTCCGACTACGAACTAGAGCTTTAGGACGAATACTGATTGTGATTTCGAGACATTTTGTGATGAAATGGACCAAGAAAAGAACGAGGAGATCGACTGGCCAACAGGGGCTGCAGTCGTCGACGATTATGTGCTCGTGAGATTCGCAACCAAAAAGATCTTGAAATTTTTCGTTGGTCTTATAAAATAAAAACTGCCTGATGGAGATTATGTGATCAAGTTCCTGAGAATTGCGAAGAATTCTGCCTTCTATTGGCCAGAGGTAAATTTTTCAGTGCATTTTGCATTATACCAAAATCGATTATTGATTTATTTTCAGAGAGACATTTCAGTCGTAAGTTCTTCAGATTTTCGATTCAATTTGATGGGTATACTCTGGGCTAAAATTCTTCAAAAGACTGTCGTTTATACGTTTCCCTTATGTTTTGTCATTTGACTTGAAAATTAGTAATTTCTTTAGTTTGAAATATGATTTTATAAGACTGTGTAAAAGAATTTAAAGTTTAATAAAAAAGAATGTAAAAAAATATTTTGTTAATAAACATAACCATTGAGAAAAAAAAACAAACAAAACTCTCCCCACTAGTTTTTTCCGCTTGTTTCACTGGCGGGGTTAAATTGAACGAATAACTGTGGGCTCGTAAACACCGATTTATACTACTGTTCAATATTACCCCAAACACGGGGTAAAATTGAACAGCAACTTTTTTATAGCTATTTTTACATAGCTACGCCCAAGAGATAATCTAACGTATGTAAAGTCATGCTTCTATAATGACCCATAAGTGGTATTTTTTTTTTATTCGATTGAGCAACAGATACAAAACTTATTCAACAAAATATGAAGAAAATGTTCAATGTAACCCCTTTTTACGGTATTCATTTAAAAAATTGCAATAAGATTTGTGATACGGCCTGTGTATGTTAAAAACTTTTGGGCCTTCTTTAAAATAAAAATATTTTTGATAGTGTATCTACAAATATCTAAGTATAATATAGTATAGTATATTTAAATATCTACAAATATATATGTAGTATATCAAGGGAGACACCAAAGAATTCGAGTTATAGGATTTTCGACCTTGCATTCACAAGGTATTTTATAAATACAATTTTTTGTTCTTTCTTGTTCATTATTATGTTTAGTTTTAGATAAACTTTATCTTAATGTGTTTGTTGTTTTGAATGTTGTTGACATGTTGAATTCATTTCCTATCGTTTTAAGTATTCCGATAATTATTTTACGTATGACATTGATATTTTCCTGGTATTATTTCTTGTGAGTGTTATAGGGTTCCGTTCCCCGTACAGAATGTGAAACAAAGAAATAAACTGTTACGCAAACGAAACAATATTGATAGCCCAAGATGAAGCTAGTCTGCAAAGACTGGTCCACAGATTTAACATAAGAGCAAAATAATTAAATGGGCAGGCCACGTGGCACGGAGTGATGACGACAGACTGATTAGCAATGTATTTTGGGAAAGACCAGATGGTAAAAGATCGACAGGAAGGCCTAGAAAAAGGTGGAAAGACGCTGTCAGGGAAGACCTGGAGAAGATGGAAGTAAGGCCATGGGAAATAATAGCACAGGATCGGAATCAATGGAAGGCAATAGTAAACGCGGCAAAAACTCACGAAGAGTTGTAAAAGCCAATGATGATGATGAAAAGAATTAAATATCACAATCTCACCTCAGAAAACTAAAACAATAGTAATCAGCAGAGAACCAACCAGATGTAAAATAGAAATTGACGGCATCAGTATTGAGCAAGTAATGGAAATAAACTACCTTGGAATTACACTGTCCAGCTATGGACACCTGGAGAGAGAAGTGAGAGATCAAGTACAAAAAGCAAATAGTTTGGATGCCTTAATGGCGAAATAGACACATTAACACTGAGATGAAGTCATTAATTTATAAAGCCAGTGTAAGACCAATAATGACACATGCCTCATAAACAAGACCCGATACAGCCACAACACAAAGGCTATTGAAGACGGCAGAGATGAGAGTATTGACAAGAATTACAGGAAATACGCTGAGAGATCGAAAGAGAAGTAAATAAATTAGTATAAATAAATGGACACAAAATAGAAAAAAAAAAAAGAATGGAATAACCACATATCGTGGGCTTACTGCAAAAGTCCGTAAGTCAATTTTTGGTCATTTTTCGGGTTTCATAGAGAGTATTAGAAAGAGAGGAATTATCGACTGGTAAAACCCATTTAGTGAAAGCACTTATCTAAACGTTAACTAAATGTGACCAAAATATACTAACTACCTTTAACACAATCTTCTTCTTCTTCTTCGTCTAGCCATTCACGTCCACATCTGAAACTAAGGCTCTTCAAGTCTTCCTTTCCATTGACGAAAATGAAATCACAAGTAGAGAAAACATACTGACACGAATAGAAGAATTTTACACAGAACTTTACAGATCACATCAACAAAATGATGAGATGAGACCAGCACGGAAATTAATAAAAAATGTTGGATCAGAAATAATGCCAAAAGTAACAATTTCAGAGGTAACTACAGCATTGAAAAACATGAAGAGAAATAAAGCTGCAGGAGAAGATAGTATTGCCACAGATATGATATTAGAAGGAGGTAAGGAACTAATTGCAATTGTAACTAAGCTTGTGGACAGTTGTTTACATCAGGGTAAAGTCCCTAAGAGCTGGAACAACTCTAAAGTAATCTTATTACACAAGAAAGGTGATAGTCGAAAATTGAAAAACTACAGACCCATCAGACTACTGTCACACCTGTTTAAAATACTCACCAAAGTCATAACTACTCGACTAACAAGGAAACTAGACGAATAACAACCATATGAACAGGCAGGTTTTAGAAAAGTCTATTCAACTTCCGATCACCTGTTAACCACAAAAATATTAATAAAAAAATGTAACGAATACAAGTTTCCAGTTTTCCTAGCATTTGTAGACTACGAAAAAGCTTTCGATAACATAGAACACACGGCCGTAATAAACGCAATGCAAAATTGTAGAATAGACAGCAGATATATTAACTTAATAAAAGAAACTATGAACCAAGCTACAGCTACATACTACTTAAATGAAAATGAACACACGAACCCTGTACCATTAAACAGGGGAGTCAAACAGGGAAATACTTTATCACCCAAACTGTTCACCTTAGTTTTGGAGGACGTTTTTAAAAACCTAAATTGGAAATATAAGGGAATAAACATCAATGGCCGCTACCTCAGTAAACTACGATTTGCAGATGACATAATCCTGATAGCTACTGACCTACAAGAAATGCAAACCATGCTTTTAAAACTACATACCGAATCTTCTAAAATAGGACTGAAAATGAATTTAAACAAAACAAAAGTCATGCACTCCGAAGACACTGTGACAATAATAAACGATAAAGTTATAGAAAAAGTTGAAGAATATATATACTTAGGACAAAAAATAATCCTAAATAGGAAAATTCAAACTGAAGAAATAAAAAGAAGAAGAAAGTTAGCTTGGGCAGCATTCGGTAAACTGAACTATATACTCAGAAATCAACAAATTCAATTACATCGTAGATCTAAAGTTTTTGATGCATGCATTATTCCGATATTAACTTATGCGGCACAAACATGGACAATCACAAAAAAGAATATGAATATACTTAGAGTCACTCAACACGCGATGGAAAGAGCAATGCTAGGTATATCACTTAAGGACAAGAAAACAAACACATGGATAAGACAGAAAACCAAAGTCACCGATGTGGTGCAAAAATCATTAAAGTTGAAATGGGAATACGCTGGACATGTAGCTAGGAGCGATCTAAACAAATGGCACAGATCAATTTTAACCTGGAGACCATACCAACACAAAAGACCCAGAGGCAGACCTCCTATGAGATGGACAGATGATCTGAAAAGGACTGCCGGGAAAAATTGGCTACAAGTAGCGTACAATAAAAAACAATGGAAAGGAAAACAATGGAACACAATCTTTTACAAGCAAAATTCTTTAAGTTGCTATAAAGGGATATTACTTTCATTATTTTTTATAAACAAAAAAATTTCTTCTACAAAAATCCTTTATGTTTATTTAAAAGGTTTACATTGTAAAATAATGTCGATCTAGAATTCAAAAGCGACTACAAAAATCAGTTAAGAGCACATAGCCGATATTGCAGAAATATATTTAACAAAATAATGAAATGCAGTCCAGCTAAAAACCGTTAAGGTATTTTAAACGATTTCTGCTGTTTATGACAATGTTTTTCAGAGCATAGCTTATACAGAAAAATCAGATAAGTAGAATAAGTACACCTAACTTGTTTTGTCAAACTATTTTGTGTTATAATAGTCACTGTAACGAATAAACCTCACGTGTTACTTTGCTAAGTTTTACATTTTTTTAGTCAATAAAATGGTGACAGTGGCAAACTAGATGTGAAATCTTCATACCGTCAAGTTAAGTATATGGTGTATCAAGTATGGATTGAATCTATCAATTATAAAAAAAATACTTACCAAAAAATGCAATATAAAACATAAAATCAGTTCCTAACAATGAAGTATCTACATCATCGGTGTTTTCAGCATCAATCGTAATTACTCTCTGCCCTGGACGAAATGGTAAAGGCTATAACAAAAGCAGACAATTTTTATTTTTAGTTAACAATTACTTTTCAAAATAATAAAAAATAATAAAGTAGAGGAAAGAAAGGGACTTTATTTCCGCTATTAGAAAATAAAAATGGCAGATCTTATGTCAGGGGCGGCCTACCTCCTACCCGGATAGGAATGGTGGACACCACTTCTTCAAATGAACAATAATAAATTATTTATTATTATGAATTAACTATTTCAAAATTGTGATTAGGTAAAGATCTTCTAGATGCTATCGAATACTGTAATTTAGAATATTTAAACGACGTATCCCCCACTCTTGCTATTTCCAATAAACCTTCTGCTGTAGACTTAACTATTTGTTCCCGAGATATTGCCTCTTATTTTCGTTGGAGTACTTTACAAGAACCTTATGGATCCAATCATGTGCCAATTATTTTTTCATCACAAAGTTTCTCAGCAGCAGAAGACAGATCCAGTAGAAAACATAGAATATGGAACTTTAACAGAGCCAATTGGATGATGTATACCAGCACTTTGGAAGCAATGAAAATACCATTAATCTACGAAGAATTGGTAACAAATATAAAACAGGCAGCCAACGTCGCTATCCCAAAACATTCTTCCATTAAAGAAAAAAACAAAGGTCATATTCCGAAACCATGGTGGAATAATCATTGTCAGTTAGTAGCTGAAAATAGAAAACATTCGTTTATAAATTATAAACAGAATCCAACGCTCCAAAACCTAATGGAGTTTAAATATAGAAGAAAAAGAAGAATTAGATTGATTTTGCGAAAGTCTAAACTCAGAACACCAATAAAAGATGATAATTGTTTTAAAAACCGCAAACAAGCCAACAAAGTACCTATTGATCCAGAAGATACATGGTTGCAGGAATTCCATAGAAAAATTGCCACGGCATGGGTTCCAAATGACGACACTGTACAAAAACATATCCAAACAGTACCCAGACAAAACCACAACTTTGAGGAGTATTTTCATTTATGGGAATTGCATCGTGCCCTTGAACAAAGAAATAATACTTCTCCAGGCATTGACAATGTGTCATAATCGCTATTATACAACCTACCTATAGAATATAAAATTTCACTAGTAAACATTTTCAACAATATTTGGACAAATAAGACACCAGTACCAAATAGTTGGAAAGAGTATCTGGTAATTCCATTAAAAAACCTGGCAGACCAGAACGTAATCTAAGTTCTTACCGACCTATCTCCTTATCTTCATGTCTTTTAAAAACATTTGAAAGAATAATTAAAAATAGATTTGAACATTGGCTAGAACACGATGGTATACTTCCAAGTTCCCAATATGGTTTTCGCAAGTCTAGGTCCACTCAAGATGCAACTACAGCTCTAGTTACTTCAATTCAGCTTAATTTTACATCAAATAAGTCTACAGCAGCTGCGTTCCTTGACATTTCTGCTGCTTTTGATAATGTCAATTTAGACATTCTTTATCAAAAAATGTTGTATATCGGAATCCCTAGATCATTTGCTCTCTTTTGAAAATCTTTATATTCTAACAGACTAACTTTTTTAAAAATTTATAATGAGGAATTTTCATACCCCCGACTAACTAACATTGGATTGCCACAGGGGAGTATTTTAAGACCGATTTTATATACCTATCCTGTATAATAGGCTTGTGTAGTTCATGAGCGAACTAGTTCAAAGCTCCGGCTCCAAACCCTGAACTAAATGAACTAGTTCGTCAGAGCTGGCTTAAACCGTTCACTCGCTCCGCTGAGCCGTTTATTTCTTCGAACATGGAAACAAAAGAGCCAAATGCAATTACTGCTCCCAATCAATTAGCATTGCTAATGGTTCAAATGGAAACTTAAGTCGCCATATGAAAAGTAAGCACCCCATAGTCTTAACATCAGTGGAACCGTCTAAGTCTGAACTTATACCTGAAACCCATGTAATGAATAGTGAAGATATTTCTGGTCACACGTCATCTTCCTCAAGTACCAAAGCAAAATCTCAAACCAGAATAACAAATTTTGTTCGAAAGCCGTCATCAATACATAAAATAGAACAAATCGATAAACAAGTTATTAAAATGATCGCTAAAGGGCATCATGCATTAAGAATGGTCGAAGAAACAGAATTTAAAGAATTAATTAAAATGGTATCTCCTTGTCCAAATTATCAATTACCATCTAGGAAAAAATTGTCTGAAAATTTGCTCATAAAAACACATCAGCAAATAGCAGAAGAATTACAAATAAAGTTAAATAGCGCACAAGCCGTGTGCCTTACTACTGATTCATGGACATCCCGCTCTAATGAAAGTTACATTGCTGTAACAGCTCATTACATTGACGAACAATCAAAGATTTGTTCTTCTACGTTAGGCTGCATCCAATATAATGAAAGACATACTGCTGAAAACATGTTAGATTACTGAAAAACATATTGCAAGAATGGCAAATTTCTCACAAAATAGCTGCTGTTGTAAGTGATAATGCGTCAAATATTTTATTAACTGTTAAAATGGGCAATTGGACATCGGTTTGGTGCTTTGCACATTCATTAAATTTGGTTGTTCAGAAAGCAAAACGGACAATATCAGATACTCTTGCAAAGGTGAAATCTATTGTGGAATATTTTAAAAGAAGCACTCAGGGACTACGTAAATTACAAGACGCCCAAAGACAAATGAACTTACCACTTTTAAAATTGAAACAAGAGGTTTCAACTCGTTGGAATTCTTCATTTGAAATGTTAGAGCGCATATTTAAAATAAAAGATGCTATTATTACAACTACAGCCCTTTTGCGGAACGACTTTCCATGCAGGTAGACGACTGGGACATTATAGAACAAGTATTACCACTTCTGCAACCATTTTATGAAGTAACAACAGAACTTTGTTCCGAAAAAAATGTAACATTATCAAAAGTTCTTGTGTTTTGTAAAATTATTGATAAATTTTTATCAAAAGTTCTACAGACAATCCTAAAGTGACCGCATTATTAGATGTTTTAAAAGAGGAAATGAGAAATCGATTTCAAAATATAGAAGATAATGAGACATAAGATATAAAATATAACAATTAATAAAATAATAAGACACTTTTGCAGAGTGTACTATTTTGGACCCAAGGTTTAGAAATCGAGGTTTTACAAATGTCAAAGCTTATGAGAAGGCATTACAGGGACTTCGAAATAAACTTGCCGTTTTATCTTTACCGGAAGTTAATCAAGAAAGGCCTACAAACAATATAAACATAAATATTATAGTCAGTGAAGACAGAAACCAGCAGAAGAGCATTTGGGATGACTATGATGAGGAAACTATAAAAATCATTAGACCAGAAAATAAACAAATGGCTGGCATTATAGAGTTGGACAAATATTTAGGTGAGGACTATCTAGATAGAAAAAGCAATCCACTAGAATGGTGGGATCAAAGAAAAAAGGTTTATCCAAATTTATACTCGTTAATTTTAAATCGATTTTGTGTCGTCGCAACTTCTGTGCCATGTGAACGGATTTTTTCTGGCACAGGTCAAATAATAAATGAACGTAGAACTCTTTTAAAATCGAGTAAAGTTTTTAAATTAATATTTTTACATACAAATATGTAAACTAAGTCATTTAAATCTATTTTATAATGTATTAATTTTAGTTACTTTCTTATAAATTGTGTTAGAGTACTGGTTTTATTTTTTTTAAATAAATACTAATTAATTTGTCCTTTAATTTTCTTATTATTGATTTTTACCACATTCTTAAAAAAACAATAATAAATTTTGTAATAAAATATTTATAATTCTAATATAAATTAAAATCGGCGTTATCAAAAATAATAAACTTATGTACAAAAGATAAAATAATGTTACATTTTGCTCATGTGTAAATAAATCTCTCATGCTTAGTAACTCTTTGAGTTAATGAACTAGTGAACTAAAAGAGCGACCTAGTTCACTTCTCACATTTGAACTAAACTGAGCGCTCTTTATGATGAACTATTATGCCCAAGCCTACTGTATAACATAGATCTTGAAGTTAGTATACCCAACCATATAAATATTCTTCAATATGCTGATGATGTTGTTTTATATATAGCAGGAAAATTGTTAAGTACCTGTGAGGAGAATTTAAAAGTCACATTAGAAATCGTAAATCGGTACTATGAAGAAATAGGATTATCAATTTCTGACACAAAAACTGAAGTGTGCTATTTTTCACAAAAACATAGAGTTCCACAAGGCAATCTTAATGTGGGAAAATTTAATTTCCCTATAAAAACATGTATTTAGTATCTTGGTATGTATCTAGACAGGAAATTGTTAAGGAAAGATCACATTCATCAAATTGTTAAAAAATCGGAAAACTCAATAAACATTTTAAGAGCTTTCTGTAAAACAAATTGGGGAGCAGACCCAAATATTGCTTTGATGTTTTACCGTAACATGATTAGGTCGATTTTCGACTATAACTGTCATTTATTTGGATCAGCGACCAATACACATCTAAACAAACTTGAAGTTCAAAAAAATAAATGCCTGAGATTATGCCTAGGTTATTTAAAATCAACTCCAGTCCAAATAATGGAAAACGAAGCGGTGGAACCTCCATTGCATTTACGCCGCCAATTCCTTAGCGACAAATTTACAGTCCGAATTATGTCCAAAAATTGTAAATACCTTCAAGATCTTAATGAGCTATCAGTTTTAGACCTTACTCATAGGTACTGGAGAACTAAAAAATATATACCTTTGGTAGAAAGCTATGTAAGTACTGTAAAATACAACGATATTCTCTATAAAAGTCAAATTCCGCCCTACTATGGTGAAGTGGCCAAAACACTATTTTCTAGAAAAGTTAGGATATGTTACTTAAACTCACATTTACTCCCAAATATGTTTAATATAATTATTAAAGAAAAATGGACAAATTATCAGTACATTTTTACTGATGGGTCAAAAGATGCAAATGGAACGGGCTGTGCAATGTTCCACGAAAATAAAAATTGCCATCATCAGTATAGCTTACCCAGTGACTGCTCAATATATACAGCAGAAATGATGGCAATATTGTTTGCTCTTTAGTATGTAGTACAAAATCCTACTAGCAACTATGTTATATTTACTGACAGTAAAAGCATGGTCGACAGATTTAACAACATACAAACAGTCAAACACATAAACCACATTGAACTGAAAATTCTTAAAATTCTTTATGAAACTATACAATTAGGATTAAATGTAATAATTACATGGGTCAAGGGCCATTCGGGAATAAAAGGCAATGGGATCGTTGACAATTTGGCTAAATCGGCATATATGCTTGGAGTAAAAGTAAACAAAAATTTAATTCCAGCGACAGATATTGACACCATTAGTAGACAAAAACTTAAAAATAATTGGCATTTACATTACACAAAATGTAAGACTGGCTTAAATTTTTATCATTGTATCACTAGGATACTCTCAAGAAGATGGTTCTACACAGAATCTAATCGACATTTTATAAAGACCATTAATCCGCTGCGAGCAAATCATGCTCTTACGCCATCTTACATGCATGGAATCGGCTTATCAAATACTCCCAATTGTACTTGTGGCAAAATAGGCGATCTAACACATATTATATTAGAATTTGAAGTGTTGTTTTCCAATAAACCTTAATCTTTTAATATTTTCAAATAATATGGAAATTCTTCATTGCATTTACAAACATGTTAAAATGTGTAAATACAAGATGTAAATAGTATATAGGCATAATCTGTTAATATGGTTTGAAAAAAAAAAACAAAAAAAAAACAAAAAAAATTATAACACAAATTAAGAAAAATACAAAAGAATTAAGAAAATAGATATAGAACAAAAAACAAAAAAAAAATAAATACAAAAAAAAACAACAAAACAAAAAAAGAAAACAAAACAAAAAAAGAAGATAATAAAAGAATAAAAAAAGAAACAAAAAAAAATATATCAAAATATAATTTATGTATAAATATTAGGTATATGTAGTACGTAGTACTAACATTTATGTGTAACTTTGACAACTTATAACAAGAAAATTTTGATTTGGCTCTGCTTTTTAATTTATTGATGCTCTGAAATTTAGTCGATTTGGCTCTGCCAAAGCCATATTACAAAAAAAAAAAAATGTTTTGTAAAATTTTGACACATATATTTTAAATAAATTTTCTTATTTCCTATGAATTGAAGCCTCATCGGAATGACAGTAACTTTTCTTGGGGCCGGCGAGACATGTAAAAGATAATGCAAAAAATTTGAAAATCGGTTTATTACTTGAATATATTCGAAATGGAAAATATGTACAACATAATTAAACAGAGCTAAAGAACCAATTTAAAAAATTCCAGCCCTTGATTTGTTATATACACCCGGTTCAACGTAATAAAAAAGCAAACAGTTTGGTAGTGTGGGGCCTAAACATAGATACTGGCGTTGGAATTGTGTTAAAATCAATTGTGTTTCACGTCAAAAAGTCAAACCAGATTTGCACAATTCGAGTTATCATGAATTATCTGTATTTTAAGGAGTTAAGAGGTAATCAAATTTAAAAGATATGCTTTCGTTCATATGCAATAAACCGTAAAAAGTTCGATTGCAACCTTCGAAAATTGTAAATTTTGGTATATTTATACGACTCACAAACAACAGCAATCGGCGAAATAAAGACACTCTGGGTCTTCAGAGCCTAATAAATTTTATGCTCAAATATTTTGTGCAAGAGTTCTTGCTTGTTTTTTTAATTGCCAAGGAGTAATCATGATTTAGTTTCTGGATAATGGTAAAACAATGGCAATTACTATTCGGCGATATGGACCACTTTATGTCAACAAATTATGGAGAGAAGACGCGGCAAGTGATCCAAAGGTATTTTTTACTTATGGACATAACCTCTGCATAAAAATCGTATGCTGCCATGCAAACAACTATTAATTTAAGGTTGAAATTACTTGTACAGCCCCCTTATTCACCAGATCTAGTTCGGCCAGACTATCATTTCTTTCCTCAACTGAAAAAAAATCCACAAGGAAAAATTCCTGTAGCTGGCTGTATACCACGTATAACAAAAAGAGGTTAATCTTTGTAAATGGGTATATTTATTTAAAAAACCCTTAAAAGGGCCACATCAATAAAACAAACGTTTTCGGACCACACAGTCCATCATCAGGTTATTAAAATCGAAAATGCTAGGTCAAATGCCTGAGCCACCAAAATATTAGGGTAAAAACCCTTTAAATTACATTTAGTTATGAAATATTGTACATTGTGTTATAAAATAACTGTGATGTTCAGTATTAAATTAAATTTGACTATAGGTAACACATGGCTCAGTTGGGTTCCAGAGCCGGTGAGAGGGAACCTCTGCACTCGGAGAACAACGTGGAACTAGTTCCACGTTGTTCTCTCAGTTCAACTCAGTTCCACGTTGTTCTCCGAGTGCAGAGGTTCCCTCTCACCGGCTCTGGAACCCAACTGAGCCATGTGTTACCTATAGTCAAATTTAATTTAATACTGAACATCACAGTTATTTTATAACACAATGTACAATATTTCATAACTAAATGTAATTTAAAGGGTTTTTACCCTAATATTTTGGTGGCTCAGGCATTTTGACCTAGCATTTTCGATTTTAATAACCTGATGATGGACTGTGTGGTCCGAAAACGTTTGTTTTATTGATGTGGCCCTTTTAAGGGTTTTTTTAAATAAATATACCCATTTACAAAGATTAACCTCTTTTTGAAAAAAAAGTCTGAAAGATATCTGAAAGAAGGCATGCCAGGTTCGTTGTAATAAATATATCTAATTATGTTCGTTGAATAATAACTTTGCCTTTCAAATTTTTTTGCTCCTATAGATTAAGAATATTTCAAATACATTCTCGTAGAACCACAGAAATGAAAATAAACAAGATTAAATAATAAATCGGACATAAAGAAAATAAAGCTTGACGCTTTAGTCAAGGAACCAGGAGCAGTTTTGGGGAGTAAGGGGAACCAGAAGGATAGACTGTTAAAAATATAATAAAGGAAAACAAACTTATTTCAAAATAATAATACTTACCCTTGTACTAGGAGAATTAACCGGAATAGGATTATCCTGTTCCTCCAAGTGTTTTTCTCTTTGAACCTCTTCATATGTTGGCAACTTGGTGCCTTTTGTAGCTACTTCATACGGGGGTGGTGCATAGTAGTCGGCTTTAGGAGGAGGAATGTCCTCTTGAGATGAGCTAGCTGCCATGCACACTGGACTAGATATCGGACTGGATGCTACACTTGGTGGGTTATTGTCTACGGATATCTCTTGTGGGGTACTGGGTGAATTCTAAAATTATTATAAAACAGACATGTTCAAATAATTTCTATATGAAAAATCTACCATTAAATTAAATAGTTTAGGAAAATAAACAAAAAAAGTAGGGGGGGACTGGTGTCAATTGTAATAGGTGTCGTTTGTAACAATAGTGATATTTGCGCCATCTTTTGAAGTAAATCAAAACGCACAATATGGATAGACGGATATCTACCTCACACCAACGACTGCAGTTTCAGATTAAACCGTAACCTAGTGCACAAGCTCCAGGCACATGTTTGTATTTCATCATATAAGTACATTTAAGTTGCGTCACAAATTATTGATTTTGCCGTTCAAAACTCAACTTGAAAATGTTTTAAGGTAAGGCCATGTATGGATGGATCAAACGCAATGTATGGATGTGCCATAGCCACTTCATGCACAAAAAACCTAGTCAATCAAACCTTCACCCACCTACACATCTGAAAAACACACCTCACACATCAACACACATTCATACACACTCAAACAACACTCATACACAACACTTTACCTCGACATCGCTCACATTCCAAACTACAAACACCTAATCCTATATCACAATTAATATACATATAATCCTAATTGGTAAACACACAAAAACACCACAAACACATAACACATCACCACACTGTGAGCACCGCCTACACTCCTTAAGAGTCGATTAAATATTCACAAGGACAGGGGGAGATTGGTTTTCTGTGGTTTCCCAATCTCATTGCACAATGATACCTGATCCTAGGAGAGGATATAGCCACAGCTATCCTCCACGCGTTTTTTCCAACAAACAAACAATGGCCAATAATCTGAAGGGAATCGTTTTTTCCACGGAACTTGTGCTTCGTGACAGGCTTGGTATACTTGGCTGGCTCTTCCGGAAGGTACGATTTCCGCCTCTTGCCTTCTTCTTGTTCTCGGTACCCTTCCCATCCTTCTCCACCCCCTTTTATCTTTTTTAGCGGCGGCGCCCTTAGTCTTTGGAGTCCAACCGAAGTCATATGAACGAAAACTGGCATTTTCAAACCAAACAAGCACCCAATAAACAAACCCATCCTTGAAGAAGCATAGAGCTTAAAGCAAGGTTAAAACGCATTGATTGATTGGTAAGGCCAATCTTTTTTAACATCTTTAATTTCGTTTACTGTAACTCACCTTTTCTACGAAGGGCATAATGTATACAAAAATCATCTTTCTTATTTATAGGTTAACTTGGTGTCGATTGTAACACACACTGCGATGTTCGTTTGTAACATGTTACAATTTATCACCTATTATATTCTTTTTTAATAAAGTTCTTTATTTTCTAAATCGATGAAAACTGGTGAAGCCAAGGACAAGAAAAACGGAAAGGTGGTTAACGCCAAAAGTTATTTATGATGAAACAGCAAGGAAGGTAATAGATAATAACCAATCTATTAGAAAAGTGGCTAAAGATTATGGTATGTGTCACGTTTCTTTATATCGCTATGATACAATCCTCACAACAGAGTATTTAATAATAAAATGGAGTTACAGCTTGCTAAATACTACGAAACTACTGTAGATTTGTATTTCGAACTTACCACGAAAGATTTACGCAAGTTAGCTTTTCAATTTGCAAAGTGTAACAGACTGTCCTACCCAGAAAAATGGAATACGACTGAACATGCAAGTAAAGACTGGCTTATTGCATTTATGCGACGAAATCCAAATTTAAGTCTTCGTACACCTCAAGCTACTAGCCTTTCACGAGCCATGAATTTTAATAGAGAAAATGTAAACAACTGTAAACTGTTAATAAATTGTCAAATGTTTTAGACAGATATAATTTTGAGCTTTACAATATACAGAGTGGCCCAAAAGTCTGGAAACGGCCAATTATCTCGTAAATTGCTAGTTATAATTGTACAAAATTTAAGGTACACCTATTTTGGGATACGGAGATTCACGGAGATTCACCCGTAACTTTGGTTTTTCAAATGCATCACCCTGTATATTCAGTCATTATTAGAATCTTCTATCAATACGAGTTCAACTATATGTAACACTTATGATTTTTTATAGTCTGGAAGGTCTTAAATACATAAAACAGAAGTCTGCCAACGCCTAATTGTTTCAATAAATTTTTTGATACTAATTATTTTCAACTACATTAAAACGTAACAATTGATAGATTAGACCATTTTTTAACAATAGTTACGTTATTAAGTGTTCAAAATGTGCTCAATTTGTGAGTTGACAGTACCCTAATCGATGGTAGAATGCGTCTAGCACATTTCTCCATGATTGTCTAGAAATTATTTGAGATTAATCGATAATTCGTTGCCTTTGCTCTGCAAGACTTGGCTGGTTAAGTTTGTAAACTGAATTTTTCAAGTATCCCTAATAAAAATAATCTTTAGGATTGAAATCGGGTGAACGTGGAAGCCATTCAATTCTACCTTGTCTACTAATAATCCGTACGATAAGTACGGAAAATATCGCATCTAAATAACGCCGAACATTTACACCAACTATCTGACGTTAAATTTCCTTCGATAAAAAATGACCCAATTGACTAAGTACCTACTATACCTGATCATACATTTAATTTTTGTGGTCTGGTATGGTTTTCACGCATTCAGTGTGAATTTCATACGAGTTCAATATCAATATGTCAATACAAATGATTGTATGTAGTCTGGAAGGTCTTAAATACATAAAACAGTGCAAAATATGTAGATGTTAATAAATTTAAATATTTAAATGTAGAATGCTGTGATATTGACATTTGTTCACGATTTACATTATAAACGAAAACTGACAGTAGTTGTGTTTCGAAAAGTTCTGCAATTTAAATTGCTTCTCTAAAATGCCGTTCTCTAAACCGTTCTCCTCTTCATAAGGCGACGGTACAAAAAACTGTAAAGCGATTTGAGAAATCTGAAGAAGGTAAAGATAGATGGAAAGAGAAGAAGTTTTGTTGAAGATCCACATACATCCTCAGGCAGGGTTGCACAAGTACATGATGTAGGTCGTTCTTCAGTCATACGTATATTACGGAAAAATAAGTTTAAACCATACAAAATAAACTTATTGCAAGAATTAAGTGAAGATGACTTCGATCTTAGATTAGAGTTTACTGAGGTAATGATGGATAAAATTGAAAATTATTAAAATTTCGTTAACAGAATATGTTTTCCGATGAAACAATCTTTACACTGTGTGGAAGTGTAAATCAACACAATTTAAGGTACTGGAGTGACGCAAATTCACACTGAATGCGTGAAAACCATACTCAAAGACCACAAAAATTAAATGTATCGTCAGGTATAGTAGGTACTCAGTCAATTGGGCCATTTTTTATCGAAAGAAATTTAACGTCAGATAGTTGGTGTAAATGTTCGGCGTTATTTAGATGAGATATTTCCCGGACGATAAATTGGTAGACAAGATAGAATTGAATGGCCTTCACGTTCACCCGATTTCAATCATAAAGATTATTTTTATTAGGATACTTGAAAAATTCAGTTTACAAAACTTAACCAGCAAGTCTTGCAGCGCTAAGGCAACGAATTATCGATGAATCTCGAATTGTTTCTAGACCATCATGGAGAATTGTGAAAGACGCATTCTACCATCGATTAGGGTACTGTCAACTCATAAATTGTGAGCACATTTTGAACACTTAATAACGTAACTATTGTTAAAAAATGTTTTAATCTATCAATTGTTACGTTTTCATGTAGTTGAAAATATTTAGTATTAAAAAATTTATTGAAACAATTAGGCGTTGCCAGACTTGTGTTTTATGTATTTAAGACCTTTCAGACTACATAAAATCATAAGTGTTACATATGGTTGAACTCGTATTGAATAGGAGATTCCAATAATGACTAAATATACAGGGTGATGCATTTAAAAAAACCAAAGTTACTAATAATATAAGAGAAACGCAAAATCTGGCAACATTGCAAATATCAAATATGGAATCTCAGTATTCCAAAATAGGTGTACCTCAAATTTTGTACAATTATAACTAGCAATTTACGAGATATTTGGGCCACTCTATATTTTTAACGAACTGAGAATCAATAATACATTTTTGACCATAAGCTCCAATATGAATATACATTTGAAAAATCTCGGGGGCATAAATCTATGATTGATTTTATAGTCACTAATAGAAAAATCCACACAAACCAAATTCTAGATATCCGAACTTTAAACTCAGCAGACGTAGGGAGTGAACACAAACTAGTACTAGCAAAGATAAGAATGAAAATAACACCAAAACAAAATTTTTTACAGGAAATCACCGAGAAAACTAATGTAGAATCACTGTGGAACGACTATCTATCTATCTATCTATCTATCTATACGGCCCTAAACATCCATCCTTGGATATAGGCCTCCTCCTCCTTCTTCCATGCCTCTCTACCTTGGGCAATTTGCATCCATTTTGACCCAGCGTGTTTCTTCAGGTCATCTGACCATCGCATTTGTTGCCTTCCCCTTTTTCGTTTGTGATTCCATGGCCGATTCCATGGTGGAACGACTATACAAGAGAAATGTACCAAAAGAGGCTAGCACAGAAGATACAGCTGAAACAAATATACGACATCGAAGATATAATTGCGAGCTAGGAGAAAATTAAAAACAACATTGAAGAAGCAGCAACAGAAGCTCTAGAAAAACGAAGTCATACTCAACAAAAGAAACAACAACAATACACCATGGTTCACCTATAGAAGAATACGAAATGAAACAAAACAGTTGGTAAGAAGAACAAAAAATAAACACTGGGAACTGTTGTATATGTTGTATGTCTAACTCATGTCAAGTCACTTGCTATTGTTGTATGTTTTACTGATGACTTGTCACTTGTCATGAGACACGACATTAAAAAAGATACCTCATGTTAAGTCTCTAATAAAGAACTGTTGTTTAGTGTAAATCTGTGTTTTACTGGCCTAAATACACAACAGTAATTTGGCGACGAGATTACTGCTACTGACGCAATTGTAGTAACA